GGTGTAGGTGACCAGGAGGCCAGGGCCTGGACGGGGGGGGAGAGGCCGTCTGCTGCTGTCATCGATGTCCTGGTGGTCCGAGCGCGCTTGCCTTTCTTTAAACTGCCCCTCGGTGAGTCTCCCCGACTGGATACCCGCCAGGTGGCTTTTAAAACTTTCAACCGGAAAAAAGGGGCAAAAAATAAAGCTTCAGGAGGACCCCAAAAAAAGGAACCGCTTGATTCTGAAGTGTCTGTGTAGCACGGGCACATAGCCGTGTCCCAGCTCACAGGAGTTGGCATTCGTTTAGCTTGTGCACGTAATAAGTGTTAATTTACTGCAAAGACGAGTTCACTCAGGTTTTCTCGCAAACCTATCTGTGGGCAATTATTTTCTTGGAAGTGTGTTGTGGATGTGGGATGGCATCCCTTTCGGAATATAAAGTTCTGTCTATTCAGAACTTGTTTCCCAAGCGGCACGCCAGGGTGAATTAAATTATGCGGATTCACGATTCCCTGTTTTCTTGCGCAGAAGCTCGAACTAGTGTTCTACTCCCATGTGTTTTCCCCTTTGATCATATCGTTTCCTCTGCTCTTGCTCTTGTGTCTCTTTTAATTGCACTGCGCCATCAGAAGAGTGGGCTGTAAATGGATCATTTTTACAGTGACCCCAGAATTTGCCGTCACAGCGGTGGGATTTCGTAGGAATATCGAATGAAAAGTGCGGAAGACAAGGAGACCACTAATAAGTTTGCACAGTGCTGCACGTGGCTAGGTCTTAATGAGAAAGGTTGTTCCTGTGTTCTGGCAGGAATGTTTTTTCGGCGTCGGTGCCAAACCCGGCTTGTTGAGAGCTGTAGCCCTGTGTGTTTTCCCAGTCCGCTGGCCTAGGACCCGGGGAAAGGGAGACTGCTACTCATCATTTCTTCAGCTGGGCAGTGAAGGGAAGCCGTCAGACCCCACAGCCTCTGAGGTGCAGAGCTGGTTAGCTTGCTGTATCGGTGACAGTAGCGTTAACAGCATCCGTGTGCGTCAGCATGCAGCAGCCCAGCACTCCACCAGCCCGCTGCTGAACAGAGGAACCCGCCGCCAGCTGGCCTTCACAACCGGAACAAATATCCGAACCGAACGCCGGAGTAACACTGTCCTCCCCTTTGGGACAGCCTCCTCCTGCCCTGAAATCTGAGCCCGGTATTGCAGTCCCGGGACGGAAGAGCAGGTGCCGGGGACAGAGGTTTCCTGTCCCAGTCACCAGACAGCAGCCAGGCCTTTCTAGAGCAGCACGGGCTCGGTGCAGGAGGAGGAAGAGAGCATGCACGGGTGTGTGCTCCCGTGCACGCACTGTATACGAACATGTGAGGCCCGCCAGAAAACCGTCAACACGCAGAAAAAGCGCCTGGTAAACTCTGAACCACTGCTGTATACACAGGTGCGCTCGCCAGTGTTTAATGGCTTCAGCTCTGTCTCGAACCCTGACCTCAGCCTTATCTGTAGAAGTGTTTGCACTTCACACACAAGAAAAGCTGCAATCAGAAAGAGGCTCTGTTTCGAGCCCCTTTGGTCGTTAGTGGCTAATTGATCCTTGGGATCTCGTCCAGCCATTAATCGATAGAAGCCGGGGAAGCGGCCTCAACCAACAATGGACAGCTTGTTCCACACTCCCACCACCCCATGCGTAAAAGAAGTGCCTCCTGTCCTCAGTTTTAAATGCACCTCCACACAGTTTCCACTGGTGCTCCCCGGTTTGTGTTTCACCCTTCAGCAGAAGAAATCCGCTGGGCTGAGTGATTCTGAGCATTTTGAATACTTGTACCAGCGCCCCCCACTGTCTTCTCTGCTCAGTTCCTCCAGCCTGTCAGTGCGGGACGCTCTCCCAAGACCTGGAAGGGATCTGGTTGTTCTCCTCTGGACAGAGTCCAGAGCAGCAGTAACTTTTCTCTTGAACAGACCTGAGCTGGGCTGCTCATTCAAATTCTGAGCGCTTTATTGGCGTGAGATGAATTTACAATGTAGCTAAAGCAGTAACACCTAGCAGAACATTTGCAAATGTTTTACAACAGTAAAATCTTTTCAGACGGGCTCACTTTCTGCTCCCCCGGCCGTGACAGGAGATCACACGCTGGGCCGCCGGCTCTGTTGAGTTATTGCTCGGCGTCTCTCACCCAGGGGTGGAGCCGATTAGCGTTTCTATGCCCTCAGGGTGTTGGCTCTTACAGCCTCACCTGATGAGGTGCAGTATTCTGCACATTCCCCAGCCTCTGTCCTCTATAAGGAAGAGTGACCTCTCCACACGCAGTTGGCATTTATGGAATCGGGCTGGAATTTCATGTTTCACTGTTGAAGCTGATAAGGCCTGAGGCACAGTGTCTGAAATGAGTGAGACAGAGTGAGACAGGAGGCCGTCAAGAATTTCTAATGTATGCAGTCTAGATAATGTAGGTAGACATATCTCCTCCTGCCTTTGCTGTACATGCCTATTGGATACAGGGATTTACAAGGATTTATTTCAGTGCC